AATACAATTGTTGTTAGAAACCCATTGAAGAGCCAGAGCCCTCAGCAGTACTCAGTGGGCATAAAACGGACCTCAGAAAGGCTTTTTTTAAAAAAAAAGAAATCACCTTTAAAGTTTAAATCTCCATTTCTACTAAATTTTTAGGTATTTTAAGAATTTGTTTTAAAACTGCATTTGTTATAATTATGTGGATGCCTGGATAATTATGTGGATGGCTAGGTTCATGGTTTGTCCCCGTGCCTGTGTAAACACCTATGCCAGAGCCTGGCAATGTGTTCTGCTGCTCACCTACAGCCTGAAACCTGACAGTCCCAAAAGAAAGGCGGAAGGGAAATGAAACAATCTCTGTGGATCTATATCAATAAAGCTCTGGTTTGTACCCTTATCACTTGTTGAAGGAGGGAGAAATACTACAGCACTCTCAAAAGTTTAGATTCACAATGGAAAAAATATGCTCAGCCTGTCCATTTCTTGAGCTTCCCAGCTAGAAATTTTCCTGTTCTATGTTTTCAATCTTCCCATTCTTCATAATAATCAGTAGCTGACTATCTTCTAAAGGGGAGTGGAACAGAAATACCTGAAACTAACTGAAAATTATTGCACAGGGCTGATCATACTGCTTTGGAAAGCTAGGTAGTTGCACGTGAAATACAAAACCCAAATGTAGTATGCTTTGAGTAAAGCAGACATTATTTGCACATGGAGTACATTAAAGATGGAGTCTTTCAGTGCTGGAGGAAAACACAAATCAGAGGCAACCAAAGTAACAACAGTGTGTCTCTCTCCTCTGTTATAAAGCAAGGAGTATGTGCTTTGTGTACAGGGAGCCTTCTCTGACCACTGCAGGATTTCTGTAGTCTAATTTGAATAGACACAAACCTGAAGTGAGAAGAGCTGGATGTTTTGGTGCAGTATTTCAGTAGTGTCATCCATCTTAAGCTAAGAAACTCCTGCACAGTCTGTTATTAGTGGACATCCTAATTTAATGAGGAAATGAGCAGAGATCTGTTGATAATTGGGCAGATTTTAGCAGGACAACTATTGTCCCAAGATGTAACAACTAGGACAATATATGTGTACTATTAATCAAATGCAATTTCTGTTTAATTTACAGAGATGAAGACATATTAAAGCCTGAAATAAACCTTCCATAAAGATTCAAGTCCTTGGAAGTAAGGAACAGATCAAATTAAATCTTTTAATTAGGATATAAAAGTGTAAACTATTCTCATCTGTAGTTGCTTGGCCTCCTCAATACACTTACACTGGTGATCTTTCCCTGCTTGAAATCTTCCCTGGTTCCTGGTCTCTGCTATAAGCACCTCTGGATAATTTTTTAATTATTACAGATTACATTCCCTTTAACAATATTCCATGTTGATGACACAGCTCTTCTAATTCAGATACACCTGCAAAGAAAGTTTGTGGCACTGTTCAGCAGCAGGAACTAATTTTGAATCCTCCTTTCAGCCTTGAAAGTGTTCAGAGAGGCTCTGCTAAAGGCAGACACAGCAAGACCGACATTTACACAACTTCATTTTCGTATGGCCTTGCTCTTGTAGTATGAAAAGGGGCTACTTTATTTGGGAGTGAATATTTGAGTTATTTTTGTCTTTTTATCCAGTGGCATTGCACATTAGCAAAGTCATAAGCACAACCACTGACAGCAACCTGATCCATGGGGACAGAGCGAGACTTTCCTTCCAACCCATATCTCAAAGAATATCTGTAGGCATCAGGAGGAGGGCAGTGGGCAGGCCAAGGACAATTGTAAATGCCAAAGTTATGCTGTATTATCTGAATTATAATTAAATCACATTATCAGTGTTACTGTTGAATTTGCATGATAGAGCCATCAATTCTCCTTGGGTAAACAAGTACTCACTGCTCGTCAGTGTTCTGGCTTCTCACTGCCAGATTGATTGGAAAATGGGTACTTAATCACCTCATTGCTCTCTACTGCATTTTCTGATGGTTGAGTGGTTTTTTTGCTTTGAAAAGTTTTGCTGGTTTCCCAGAAGACCTTCAACAAATCCACCCCCCAAACACTCAGAAAAACCAATAGATGATTGTATGAGGGTCATTCTTCTAAGCTTCCCTGGTCATCTTTGGCAGCAAATATATGACCTGCTCATGTATTTGCTGCCAAATCCCAACAAAGTCCAGCCTTTGGTGCAGCACAAAGAGCCTGCACTTGTTGCTTACTGCAATTATTTTTTAAAAATACTCAGAGCTTCCTTCCCATAATATGTTTTCCTTTGACTACAACTCCTATTCTAAAAGTGAAAATTGTCTCTGTTCTTATGCAAAAACACTGCTTTAAAATCCAGAAAGGAAGTTATTCAGTATAATTTCAATTTGCAGTTTGTTCTTAGGGACACTACACTCACAACTCTATAGTTCTTGCTAATGGGGAGGATTTAAGCCTCAACAGATCATCATGACAGGTGGTAGTAAATAATAAGATAATCTATTTCAATAAAACCCAGAAATCTCACAAATTACTTTAAGTAAGGCATGTAATTAAAATTACATTAAACAGAAATGTTTTTTCCCTAGTAAAGAAAATGCTCAGCAAAAATATATTTTCAACCCTTTTTTTTTTTCACTAACTGAATTCCCTATTCTGGAAAAGGTCATGCAAGTTGTTGTGCATCAGTTTCCTTTTGATGAAAACTTGACTAGGGATTTTATTTGTATGCTGTAAAACTTTTTTAATGCTTGCTTAAAATATCTTGCACAAAAATCGAATGGCAAAACTTTTCTTGGTTCATTCTGTACCATTGATGGCACAATGGCATATCTTATATAAGGCATGGTAATGAATCATAGACAAGTTATTGTTCAGCACATTGCACTGCAAATTAAAAGCTTTGACTCATACAAGCAATCTCTTACATGTCTTTACAGGAATCTTGAATTTATAATAGGCCTTCTTACAACCATTCAGTTCATTGAATATATTCATTAAAAAGTAACAGATGGCTATGAAGAGAATTAACTTGGTCATCAACAGCTGTAACTTGCATTTAGTGAGGGGTGAAATTGCTGTAGGTATCTCTAGTGCTTCTGCACATAGGTTGGCTCACACCTCTGTCAAACCTCTTGGGATTGACAATGTGCCACAAGCAGCAGCCTGTAACATAAAAGGTTCAGTGGCAAGGAATTGGACATGGCATTGGAAAGCTGCAGTCACAGCAGAGACTGGGGTAGCCTGTAAGGTCTAACAGGGAAATCTTTACTAAAAAACAGTGTGCTTCACAGAGGGGAAATTTGCAAAGCCTCCCCAGGAAGAAGCAGGGAGTGCCAATGGATACAGATGCGTGTGGGCAGGCAGGGGCTAAGCCAAACATCCCAGGAGCTGCTGGTCAGAAGCACAAGATTGCCATTGACCTCTTCTGGCATCTGATCCTACAGTACTGGTGTGTGGCTGAGGTGAAGAGCTGCAGATGAAAAGGGAGTAAGGCTGGAAGTCCATTGCAGAAAAGGAAACATAACATGACACTCCCACATAACAGGCTTCTGCAGGATGTTCTGCAGGTCTGGGGCATGGTAAACTTTTTAAGCATGTATGACTACTTTTTTTTGTTGCTTTTTGACCATAGTTGTCTTTATTTAAAAACTTTGGAACTTTTAGTGAAGAAAAGGTCTAGAAGTGTGTCCAATTTGCATTTAAATCAAGGGTTCTCCTAGACTAGTATATCCCTGAACTGGATATGTTCTATGTTCTAACTATAGTGGCATCTTCAATTTGTCATTTCTTTCTGACTTGTGATATAAATAAAATGAAATTGATAAACAGATTTAAAATGATGCCATACACAGTCTGAAAATTATTTTGTTCATACTCAGTATCTTCTGGTTTTTTTTTAAATAGTCTGTATCCTTTCTGCACACCATCAAGTATGACATACTGATCACACCAAACTACTCATCATTGAATCAGATAGGAGCAATCACATAAGAAAACTCTGCAGCTGGGAGCAAACTGACTTTCAATAGCAATCCTGCTGCTGCAGTGATCCTCTAGTGCAAGTACTAGATAGAGGCTGCTTATAAATTTTGCATGTCTCTGACAACAGCTATTAAGGCAAAACAAAGAAGGATGACCAGAGAGTCGGAGCTGTCACCAGAAAATTCCAGTTTTTAGCCTAAACCACAGATTTATCCTTACTTGTCTGCCCATCTGGAAGATGAAGATGAGGTGGGAGCTGAAACAAGCAGTTCTTCATACAACACTTTATTAAGGTAGGCAACCTTTTTTCCAGGTGTGGTCTCACTAAACTACTGCTAAGAATGCGCCATCCCACATATGCATGCTTCTGGGGACTGACAGGGAAACTGTGGGAAAGATGACTAACTCCTTGTTTTGAAACCAGTTCAAAACAGGTCAGTGACAATGAGATGCCTAAGGCAAAAAAGTGGTGGGTTTTTTTCCAGGAAATTCCTTACATGGCCTCAAATGTGCTTAACATGCCATGTGAACATATGGACAAACTGGGCTTTTGCTCTGCACTCAGGCTGTGGGACTAAGTGGTGAATGGACAGGGGCATCAGCTTGTGCCAGCGAAGGAGCTCACCGTGCAGGGCTGGTGGTGCTGCTGAAGGGACACTCTGGCTGTCACCTGAGCTGCACTGCAGGCGAGCACGAGAACAGACACTGACACCGCGCTGTGCAAGAGGCCTCTCTGCATGACTGCAGAGACGAGACCTTCCTTCTCAACTGCCTGAGACATTAGGTAGTTACAAATTCTGATTTTAATCTTGAACACACAACAGATTAGACCCATCACAAACATATGGCTCTAGTGTTACTACACAAAAAGTGATTTCCACTTAAACCAGATATTTCTGAAATCACAAATTCGATCACTTAAACTAAAAGAAGTCTGTAACTAAATCCCAAGATATCTAAGTGCTCTATACCACAGAGCTACCTACATCCTTCAACAAAGATGTTTAACATATGGAGCAACATGTTTTTTCAGAACAAAAGAACAGGAATTTAGGTTAATTTAATAGAAAAAATAAAATATGGAATAACATTGATTTTGGCCAGTATCAATTACAACAGAACTACCCTATTTTACAAATAACAACTGAACATTTTACACATGTACAGTATTTTTTCAGTAAAAATGGATTTCGTTATAACAATGTCAGTTTTTTTTAAAAGAAAACAAAGTTATTAATTTCTTCTCTATAATAGTGTTAGAGACATTTGTAAGTATCCAAACAGATTCTTTACAATCCATTACATAATTAAATCTCAATAGTGAATATATATTTATATATAACATATATAATATTAACTTAAACTTTGAAAGCATTATGTTCTATTTAAACACGCTATACTGAGAAATGAGGCAGTAACAGACTAGTAATTAAACTAGCACAAATTTGAATGTTTATCAGGAAATTTGTAATGGGCACCAAAGGAGCTTAACTGCACTCTCTCATACTGAACCATACTGAAATAGTTTATCTGCTCTCTGCTAAGAGGACATTACCTCTAAAGGTTTGAATTAGTTTGTAAAACATCCACAGTCATTTTTGATCCCCTTTATTTTCCAGGATTTACATGCTTAAACAGCTGAAATCCATTTTCTGTTTGTGTGTTCTGGAAAGCTAACTGAGAAAGACACTTTGCATGTTTTAAGTATTATCCCCAGTAAACAGTATCTTTGAAGTTCAATTTGCTGTTTTATGTGAAACGACTGTCTTTTGAACAGTATGCTGAGTGAAGCTGAAGAAGACAAATTAAACAGAAATTTGTACTGGCAGCCATGTGCCTGGGTAGAAAAAGAGTGAGGCTTCACTTCTCTTATCACTCAGGACCATTTTACAGCGAGGTAACTCCACTGGCCTTAGCAGGACTACTCCTGCTGAAATTTCTACTGTGAGCAGTTAAAAGCAGATTCAGGCCCATCATGGCACCAAGAGAATCACTGATTTATTGCCCTATATGCAATTTTTCCTGGAGGTGTATTTGGCGCAATTATAAATCCAGTCCTGTAAACACATCCTGTTGTATATAGTCACACTGGCATTTACATATGGGCACTATGAAACAGTTCCACATATCTGTATGATAATATCCCCTTTTTAAATGAACATTACAAGACAACAATAATTTATGAATACTTCTTACATGTTAGCAATGTTTTCTGACTTCTGAGCATATACATTACTCTCACTTACGCAAATCAAGAGAAGTAGTATATTCTAAATTTGTCCACTACAGGAACAATGGGTTTCTTATGTTTATTTGAAATAGCTTTGACAATTTAAAAAAATAAAATAAAAATCCTAGCATATCTGTTAATAAGCCACCTGTCTAAAAATGAAATCTATATGACCAAAACCACATTTTGGGCAAACATATATACATACCGCATGTGATACAAAAAAAGCATACAGCAGAGGAAGTAAGAAAGGTGTGCAGAAATGTTCACTTTCCATTTTTTAAAATAGTGTTAGAAAAGGGGTAGAACTTAGTCCTGCACTAATGATGTTTCGGATCCCCTCAGGAACTCAAGTTCCCCCTGTCAATACATACAGCACAAAAACAGACTAATGCAATTCTTTTCGTATTGTTTAGTTTTAATCCATGTAAACTTGTGTTGTATTCTTGAAACACTATTTAAACATCTTGAAGTGGAAAGAAGCAGGAAAGATGGGAAGAAAAAGAACCTTCAAAAAACAGGAATAATCCTAACGTTGACAGGAAATCAAATCAAGAGTTAAATGTTAATTTTGGCATCAAATGCTTTGGTCACACAATACTGACTCTGTGATCCTGGATGCTCAGCTCTAGACACCCAGTTATGAAAGGTAGGCGTGTTGTAGTTTTTCCATTTAAGTTCCAACAAACAGTTCGCCATCTCCCCAGACAAAGAGGGGGGAGAGGGAGAAAGGTGGCTTGCTTTCTTTTTCTTTCTTTTTTTTTTTCCTTTTTCAGTAATATGAATTAATCTGTAAGTCAACAGGAGGAGGAGGAGGATGCTGGGAGGTGTCAGTTCACCCCTTTTGTTTACATGTTCTGCAGCACAATTGCTGAAGCACTTTCCTCTGGCAGAGATTGTTCTTTTTCACCAGCATACAGAATCCTCCCTCGGCCCAGGACTCTTCCGTGGCTTCCAGAGGGTAGCAGCAAGAGAAGGAGGGGAGGTTGAAGGTTTGGAGAGCACGGTGTGTACAATGGAGGAAGGTTTAATTGGTCAGACAAGCAGATTTGGTTGAAGAGACCATTCAGGAGCAGGAAGTAGGAAATTTGGTCCATCAAAAGGAATTTCAGTCAACAGCAGTTTTTTTTTTCAGGAAGAGATATTGTGTGGTCCAACAGGGAATGATTGGTATCCATTTATGAAAAGGAAAAAAAGATTAGAAAGAGAATAATTAGAATACAGTGATGTTTACAGCACAGGAATTTGTTCTCAATCTTTATGAATTAAAAGAATAAAACAATCAAACCACAGAAAAAGAGCAAAAAATTCTCAACAGAAATGCAAATCCTATAGAGCGAGTTGATTGTAAGGCATTGAAATCTCTGCTTTTGTAAATTAGCAGGAAAAAAACCCCCAAACCCTCCTGGACTTTCCTTGTTGCCAATGACTGCTGAGAACATGTGCTGTGTGGTGTGACCCTGCGTGTGCCTGAAGGCCTGCACATCCATGTGCTGCCCTTCCATGAGAGCTGCATTTGGAAGAATGGTGGTGACAGTACTGAGATGGGGTGTCCTCACCTGTGGGAACTACAGGGATGTGATTGAGGCTGCATGTGTACAAATGAAGATGGATTTATGCAGCTGTACAAAGACAAAACTGGTATCCAAAATGTTTGCATTGCAGAAATCAATTGCAATACCATATTAGCATTACACTTCTTAATTTGTCTATTCTTCTGGACTTGCTTAAGACAATAACTCTTCCAATGTCCAGACATGAAAAGGGCTCATGACTAGTTCAACAATATCTGCAATGTAACTTTACAATGAACAAGATAATTTTCAATGTTTGGGAGCCTATATTCCAACAGGAAGTGCAAAGGTCCATAGGAACAAGACTCAGGCCTGTGCTCTTTCTTTCTTCTTTTTACAGTCTTTTTTAACTCTTAGTAAATCCAGTGGAAATAAACTGGACCCAAGAGTCACTTTTAGCTTTTACTATATCTGATATCAGGTATCTTCCCAGACTTTGTTCTGATATGATTTTCCTGTTGGATTGGTCTTGTTAGGCTCTACTTACAAGTAATTCACACGGTAACATGTTTAGGGAAGGACAATGTTATCTAAATGTTTCTGTAATTGTGACATTTAAAAGGAATTATTATTAGTGAATAATTAAGACAATCATATGTAATAAGGAGGCTATCTTGGTTGCTACAGAGAATTTGAAGGAAGTTCAAATCTCCACCCTAAATTGTATGTTCCCTATTTCAGAATCCCTTTTTTCTCACTACCCTTTCACACAAGTCAAGCAATCCTGCAGGTGCTTTAAATCGTTTTTACTTACCAGCATTTTCAGAGTTTAAAGTGCCAAGATAGATAAATGTAATTCTATTAATAGTAGTCTAGGGTTCCTCATATAAAAATCTGTTGAAAGCAAAAGCCTTTGAACAAATGCTAAGGAAGGAAAAGTAGGTTGTTGGCAAGGGGAAAAATTATTTTAGGAAAATTCAGGTAAAATGGGTGTGACTAATCTTGCTAGCACATGCAAATGTAAATTTCTCCTTTTCATGAACCTGAAAATTCTAAAAAGTAATGTAGACCATACTTAAGAAGAAAAGCAGGCCAAACGAACTCTGTACATGTAAAAAAAGAAGCAGGCAGTGATAAAATGGATCTTTTCAGAGACTTGCACTCACCATCCTTGCATACTGTTCCAATGACGCAGACACCAGTGTCTAGGTTATAGCCACTTGGACAGCTTGTACAGTTTCTGTCTCCTTGGCCACTGCAATCCAAACAGCTGGCATCACATCTGAAAGACAATGGCAGGAGTTGGCCTTCTGGCCTCACCAAATACAGCACTTCCTTGGACACCTCTTCTGTATTGCAAAGGCCTTGTTTGCCCTTTCTAGAGGTACAAGGTACTATAATATTACTACTACTAATTTTGATTATAAATAATGGACTAGCCCTGCAACTCAGTCCTGTTTCTTTCCATCAACAAATTTCTATTCCAGAGTTTTTACTAGGCAGCTGTATTATTCTAGTGCGTTGCAACGATGCATAAATAATCAGCAAAAGTTTCAAGCTGATGGGGCAAACATGTGCATGTTAAAGGCACGAACTAAGGACAGAAAGACTGACATGATGCCCAGTCCCTTCACCACCCATCTCGCTCCATTGTCTTTTCATTATATATTGATTGTCTTTTTATGTAGAACACACTGAAACACACAGGGATTCCCTTCCTGCCCTGAGCTTAGATCTGAGTCAACAATAAATTATTTCAAAGGGCAACAAATGATATTTGTTTACAAAGTATGGAATAGAGAAAATGTTCCTTTCTTGCACAGCACAACTTTGCCCAAGATTTATCTAGTCATTTGTGAACTTGAGTCAGGTAAGCTCCTCTGGACAGTAGTTTGAAATCCACCTGCACTATGTTTGTGAATATGCAGCGGAAGAACTGAAATGGTCTTTATAAATAGGAACTGACTTGCAACAAAAAAACCTGTAGTTTGATTGGTTTTGTTTGCTATTAAAAAATGCAGATCCTCTGTCAGATTTGTAAATTTTATGTTTCTATGCAAATTTACTTACAGGCTCACTAAGGCTCACTTTAAAGTGAAGGTCACACACACATATGCCAGAAAAAATACTTTTATAGGACCTGTATGAATATAAATAGTAAAAATAATAATAATAACAACAAAACCAAAATATTTTTCTTATTTGCTTAGCATTAAGTATTTCTTTAAGTTTTGATGTCAACAGTATTTTATCTTCTAATAAGTATGGTCATTTCCAACACAGTAATAGCTAATATACTGCCAAATATCAGATATATCAGCCACTGATCATACCTTTTGCAGCTTTTGTATCCACTTTCAGCAGAGTGATCAAGGTAATAACCACTGCTACAGGACAGCACACATCTTCCATCTTCCATAAAGTAACCCTGTGTGCAGTTTATACAGGCATCTACTCCAGCACCTTAGTCGGAAGAGAAATGTTTAGAAGGCAGGTACATTGTTAAAATAAATAATTACATCATTTCAGTGTATCTTTTTCTGAAATACATGGCTGCAGTTCTAAAACTCCCACAAAATCTACCAGTCATTATTCCTTTCCTGGAAGAAAATGGAAGGCATTACTGGAAATCATAGTAAGTTCTACTAAAATTTAAAAAAGAAAAAAAAGAAAAAGAAAAAAAAAAGAAAAAAAAAGAAAAAAGAAAGAGGAATTTATGAACTCTTTCAATTGGAAACCTAGATTTCTATGCTAGCTGAAAGAAGTTTGCCATATTTGAAATGTAATTAGAAGCTACTAACAGAATGAAGGATTCACATGTAAACAATGATGCTATACTGTAAGTATGGTATATAGTAGAAAAAATCAGAGGTAAAATCATACAGGAATGAAAATGATGCAGACAAATGTCAGTGGGGTACCTGCACATGTTGCACAGGAACGGTGGCATGGCTCACACTCTCTGCCATTATGGTATTTTCCTTCTTCACAGCGGATAGCACATCTGGTGCCATGCAAACTATCATAAAAAGATAAAAAAGGACAGAGCAGATAATGGCAACAGAGGACAAGAAGATCGTGCACAAGCCAATAATTTTCTTTTAATTAAAGAATAACCCATATATTAAGTTTCATCACCTTCCTTCAATGGTCATATTTCATAAATTTAGAGACACCAATCACTTAAAGAGGGAATGCAAAGCAATTTTCCCCATGGTGAAGTAAAGAAGCTGTTTACAAACTCTTTATAAATACTACCAAGTAATACAGGACAGAAGAAAAATTAACAATGACAAGCAGCACTAAAAATTTAGGCATGTAAAATGCAATTATTGAGGAATTTGGCACAGGGTCAGCATTAAAAAAATGCTAAGGGAGTTGTTAACTGAATGCTGTGTGGCTTGTGAGATTTGTTGAGATTACAGATGGAAGTATTCTGCCTGCAGGCACTTTTGAGAGAGCACAAAATATGAGTAACAAGTCACGTTTTTATATATTTCTTGAAGTAGTTGTTTATTGCTTTCATGTTATATGGTGCCTATAGCAGTTTGTTGGGGTTTAGGGTTTTTTTGTTTGTTTGAAATTAATTTTTTTAAACTAGGATATCTCTGCCATGTTTACCATCTTCTGCAGAATCTCAGGATTCATCCAATTTAACACTTTCTCTAAAAATGTTCATCAGCTCTGGGGTTTCCCACTCTGAGTGCTAACCATGTTTTTACAGATTGGATCCAGCAACAGCCAGGTAAGTTCAGCATCAGTGACAATTTTCAAGAGTGTATTCAGTCCCAGTTTAATAAATAAACTAGGAATACAACAAAACTTCATAACTCCTGCTTTTCTCTTGTCTTTCCTGAGCAAAAAACCTCAAAGACCTTTACAATAAACATAGCATTATCATGTTTTTACAGATGGGAAAATAATTTTCCCAGGTTTATTTAATGGACAAGTAATGGAGTACATCTGGAATTCAGGTCTCTCAAGACCCACTCAAGGAAGGCCCTGCTCATTGATACCCCTGCCAAGAAAATGCAGAAAGTATGGAACAACTATGGAATGTGAAATATATGTCCTGAAAGGCTCCATTAATCTGAAATAAACACATTTTTTTTAAAAATGTTACCAAAAATGACACTCTATTTGCTAAAATTGCCCAAAAAACCATGAAGGTTAGGTTTTAAATTTTTCAGTAATTCAATTGCAATAAAGGAATTCAGCTATTGATGTTCCAGAAGCAAAAGCTTTTACTAAAAGATGAAAAACCACTTTAATGCAATAGGAATCCTCAGTGTTGAAACATTAACACAATACTTGCACTCAAAAGAATACCTACAGATACTGAATACTGACTTCATATTTTTGTGGCACTAAGCCAGCATACAGTCTGTCATAAATATTATATGATTTTTGACCTTTGCTACTTGGACCAGAATGTCATTCTTTACAAAGAAGCTTGAAATGTTTACTGTTGCTTTGTATGTTTATCTATAATTTTAAAGAATAATTAAGTTCTCCTCTGAAGGAAAAAAATCTCACCTGCTGTTTAAAATACATGATCACTGACTGTACTGTAATAGAATTGAGCCTCAGTACTTGAGGTAAGTGAATGGGTGGATACGTGAAGAAATACAATAAAGATAAGAAAATAACTTCTAACTACCAAATAAATAAATCAGAAAGATTAACACAATTCATTAGCTCTACTTCTGAAATTATCCTTCACTGACATAATGTAGGTCAAAAATTGAAGAAGCCAGCTTTCCACATGACTGTGGCTTTCACGTTACCTGATATGAAAAGCCTTCTAAAAATGTGTTGTCAGCCAAACAGGCACACAGGTTCACTATTACAGACTAAGCAGCATTGGAACAGATGAAATGAGGGCCATGCAAGGTTAAACAGCTATCTGATGTTCTTCATTGTGTATCTCCAGCCTCGTCTACCTCGTCAGATACTATGTTTAGAGGCATACATAATTTCCTTACCTTAGTCCATGCTTGCACTCTGTGCAGATTTGGAATTCAACACAGGTCTTGCAGTTTTCACTACATTTACGACAAACAATCTTATCTACAAGAGAAAAAAAGAAAACAACCCAGAAAACCTCAGTCAGTTTTGTTTGATAAAATTGTATGAATATATTATTACATGACTTACTACTTTCTAGTTTGACAACATCAAGCTAGACTAAACCAGCAAAATGCTGCCTATCATTACCTTTTTCCATCTAATATCAAATGATTTACAATATTTCCATAAATCTGAAGTTACAGTTGCACCCCAGGAAAAAAATATGTTTTGAGGCCATTAAAAATTTTTCATAAACACTTAAAATTTACATTCACTATTTATAATATGGACTTAAGTCACCTTCTCATATAGTAGTAATATGTACTAATAATTGCCATGTGTTCTGGAGACTGTCCTGCAATCTTACACCTTCCATGCCAGCAGTCTGTCCTGTCTTCCTGATTTGGTGCTAAAGACACACCTGCATAAACAGATCTGATCTTAACAAAATAAATATATAAATTACTTAACAACAGGTTTTTTATCTCTGGAGATCCCTTTAAAAAATCCCTTCTCTCTCTTCAGCCCTGCTGTCTTTTGACATGCAGTGAGTGACACATACCATTTTAAGAAGAAAAGCTTAATTTCCCCATTTAATCCTAAATTTTCATCTATCCATGTTAATTTGTATGGGAATGAATTCTCTTTACTGTAGTTTTCACACAGTAAAAGTGCTGGAATTAAGGTAGGACCTGTTTTTACTAATTCTCAAAAAAAAAGCACACAGCTTCATGCTGGAGAAAGCAGAATGTTAGGTACCTAGATGAACAAAGCTCCTGAGAACATATTTATCTCCTAAGGGGAATCTAAAGAAAACAGATGTCACTGCAGTCTTAAGCCCATTTGAATACATGTAATTTTGTTGGCCAAAGCTGGAAATTAAACACGGACAGTCTACTTGCCAATCACAGGAGGAAGCTGAAGGCAGATACCTGTCATGGCTGAGGATTGCTGCTCTTGGGCAGTGACATCGCTCTGGAGGTGCTTAGGTGTGTCTGAAACATTTTTTGCAACCATGTTACATCTGAAGAGCCTGTTTTGGCAGAGCTCTGGTTCACTGGCCTTGGCCAATGTCTCAGCTCTCACTTCTGGGGCCATACAATCTGGCTGAATGGGGAATCATGTCAGAATGGGTGCTGTCTGTCCCTTCCCCAAGTAGTGACAACCTTTGCTGTCCTTCAGCTGACTTGCTCCTGAACTGCCCTGGTTCTGCTACTGTTACTCCCAGGTACCTCCAGCTGAAAAGACATCCTGCAATAAGCATGGTTTTTAAAATAAAGGAAGATTATTCAGGATATTTTTGATCACACTTGGCAACAATTTAATAAAAGGAAAAGGATAAAAGATCAACATACACTTTTCCTGCTCATAAGCATTCCAGCAACCTCCCCAGATGAAATTCTGTAGCCCACAATATAAAACCAACAAGAAATACTAACTCTTGTCCAGGTAAAACCCGTCAGGGCAGTTGGTAATACAGCTATTGGTTACTTCATTCAGGTAGTAGCCAGATTTACAGGTCATGCACTGGTCACTATGGCCTCCAACACAGGTTTCACAATTGGGTGAGCATTTTTTACATCGTTTCTTGTCTGCACTGTAGTGACCAGGTGGGCAGGTCGAAACACAGATCCTGCAGACAGCAGGGAAGAAAAGGCAGAATTGTTAATGAAATAGCCTGCCACCACATTCCTGGACCATGACTGCAAAGCAGAAGTATTTCTCAGCATTGTTGCTTTTCTAATGATCATGTACTTACTAAGATATAACCCTTCAAAGCACTGTATCAAGCTGATCTCTTGCATTTATGTCCCTACACATGCTATCTCACCAGCATATGTCAGACAGTCTACAGTATAATTTCAACCATCTACATTTCTTCCTATCTTATTCACCTAATCACTACATCAGCTGTAGTAGCTATGAGAGTCTATGAACACATATATATACAGAGAAAGCTTCTTAGGGAGAAAAAAAAAGAGGTGGGGATTTAATCCGAGAAGGGTTTTCCAAAGCTGTTTTTTAAATACTGATTAGCTAGAATTTGGGTTTTTTTAAACTCCAAAGAAAATTTTTCAAAATCAGGGGAAAATTAATTATTCATAACTGTAATGAAGAGAAGAGGAAAGAAAGTTAAGAGACATAAATAAGAAATCAATGAAGTGAAGTTTTTTTCCCTTGCTCTTACCTTGTGTTGTTTTTAGATTTGTAGTAATAGTGCAGACAGTCAGTACAATGATCTGGTCCTGGCCCATCACACCCTACTTTACTGCATTCTGCATTGCAGGGACCTGTAATAAAAACAGAATACAGAGGGACAAAGGGATTAAAACTTCTCATTTAAGGGACATCTTAAAACATAAGATTTCATTGCAGAATGCAATTACTCTGTTTCCCTCTGTTGAGGACTACTCCTAGCACAGGGAGCTTGGTTCGCTACTTGCACTGCGAGCTCAAGATTGAGCTCTGGATGGCAGAAGCTCCAAGCAAGAGGCTGTGCAGACCCTATGCGTAAAAAACGACACACCATTCAGGTGACCAGACATGCAGAGACACAGCAGGAGCCAAAACCCCTGAGACTTTCATGTTTCTAAGGGTACAAAAGCCCACGGTTTCCCTTGCTCAGGGTCTCTCCTTAGAGGCACTCAGCTCAAGCTGTTATTTTTTTATTTAGGTATTGCACCAAAATTAAGTTATTCTAAGGATTGGGAAGTCTGAGACTCTGCTATGGGAAAACTGGGGTTGAGCTAGTGAGGAAGCCTGGCCTGATTATGTGAGTGTGGGTGTATGTCCATGAAGGGACCTTGGTCCTAGCTCAGGTGTTGAGAGTATGACATCCAGAGTGGCTCCTGGATGGTTGGACAAGGAGGTTTCCTGAATGCCCGCAAGATTTGACTTCAAAAATTCAGAAAAAAAAGCCAAGCTTTTCAAACAAGTATGACATCCTCACTTCATGTGGAAAGGTATAAAGACCTCTGTAATTCATAATTAGAAATGATTAGCAAAATAACTTCTAAAAAGAATGACAACGATGAATATCATGATCAGTGGCTACCCTGGCTCCTGAGTGAGTATCAGCTGGTCCAAGTAGCTACCATGAGCCAACGAACCAGACACCAGGGCCCTGATGTCCTCTGCTCCTACACACTACAAAAGCCTCAGCTAGTACTTGCTGATTCCCAAGTCAGTCCCCTGTATCACCCGCACTCATATTAGGCTTGATTATGCTTTGGATCTGTTCCAACTTAGTATTTTCTATGATTTAGTTCTTACAGTTTTCAAATAAATATTTTCTTCTATTGGAAGAGAGAACCATCAAGTCTTGCCTTTGTGCAGATGAACAATGACTGTGGGCGAAGTTACAACTTTCAGGATCTTTGATCTCTCCTGAATGAAATGTGTTGAGTTTGTTTCATATAAAAACTTAAGAAGTTTTAAGCTAGTGACCTCTACAGTAGAGACAGTAGTGTTTCATTACCTACCAAAACAAGGAGTTCCGCAGCTGTCCATCTAAAATAGAGACTGCGCAACTGACATGCTATGAAAGGAGAATGGAACAACAGAAAATACTAAACTAAACTAAACTGAACTTTCTCCTCCTTTTTGGTGGCCAGAGATATACTTCAGATTCATCACATGGTACTGTTAATGCTGGATTGCATGTAAGAAACTGACTTATTTTGCAGTGCTAAAAATCTAACTCTAATAAAGTCTAATGACAAGGTTGAAAAACTTCTGTAGGGATCAGTGAGAAACAACACACACGTAGAAGATAATGTTCTTCTCATATATATATGCATAAGTATATATGTAGCTTTATATCCTTATATGCAAAACAGTACATTCTTCATAGCATGTTAAGAGTAGCTTGAAAATACATAACTCAATGCATGCAAACTCAAACGCCCAACTTTCAATTATGAAACAAGTACTTCTCATCTTCAGTGAAGAATACAATTCACTGAACATTTTGTATATGCCGATTCTCAGGTCATCCTTAAAGCTGTTAAGGGTTTACTAAATGCACAAACAGAGTAAATGAATGTACACACCTGAATAGTCATCTGTTGCATAATCTTCTGTAGGGTCTTCAACTGGACTGGAGCGCACTCTTTCCACTTTGGAAAAATCATTTCTTGGTGAGTAAGGCTGGATGGATGTTCCATACAGTACTAAGGACCACTCTTTCAATTTGCCTGGAAGTTAAGTATTATAAAACTGTTTTCAGAACTACTCTTCTCTGTGTCTTACAAAAGTATGTAACTTTTAAGCATGTTATTATGAGTAGGTATGGGAGACATTGCTTTTCAAGTAAGTGCAATAATTGTTTTAATATGAGCTGAGAAAGCATATTTTCTTCAGTCATATCTTCACACTGTATTTTCACTGCACTCCAATATCTTGTAATCTAGAAAAGGTTTGCCCCATGGGCTAAACTCAATATAAACAACAAACAAAACATCTGGGCATACAGTTATTTGGAATATGTAGATGGTACTGCATAAGGTGGTTTTATTCTGGATTTCACTATCCCCTCAGAACACTATTTATTGTCCAATAATTATTATTTGAGATCTTTTAGCTAAGTAGCTGTATTCAGAATTTTGACTTAAGGAAGGGATTTCATTGACTTTTAGGACACAACTTGATGAACAAGAAACATCTTCTCTTAAAATTTCCATGGAAGAACATCACTGTCCCCCTCAAATCAGCATAATTTCTAATTTATTTGTGCCAATTATTTAGCAAATATATTACTCCACTGTCTGCAATTTTCACTGATATTTTATCCTTGTAATATTTGAATGAAGACAAAAAAACCCATCGGGCCACCTGAAGCATTATCTGACTTTCTGGTAAGTTTTTTTTGGGAAGAATAAAAATATAAAGGTGTATCAAGTCATCGGTTCATGATATCAGAACATAAAGGGTGAACTTTCAGTCCCCAGCTTTCTCTCTATACTACTAGGTGAAAAAATTTGGAGAAAGAGCAAAAGCATTCAGGCCCGAAATAATGCCTAAAGAAAAGATGCATAAAAACCACATCCCTGCTTGAAAAGGTGCAACCAAAGTTGGGTATCAGCCCATCATCTTGGTTATGTTACTCTGTCCTGGAAGAGCTAGTTGTAAGTGTCAAATTTTCATTAGAACAATGAGAAATCAGAGAAGCAGGGAGAATTTCAATGATCCTGTTTTGGAGGCTGTTTTGTGGTTAAAACTTCACAAGGAGAACTTATTATTTAATAAGAAATAATCCAGGTATGACACTTCTCAAGAAAATAATGTAGTATACTTCATGTAAAATGAAATTCAAGCAATCTTCCTCTTCTTTCATTTTAATGATATTCAGTAACTTGAAATATTATTCATTTGGACTTTTAAACCTATACAATCAAATTAATTTGAACCTTACAAGTTTCTGTATTTTTGACCCTTACAAGATTTTCTGTAGATTTTTCCCAGTGTCATCTGGTAGCCTCCACTGACATGACAAAGACAAGTATCTCTGTGCTCGTACATGCATACTTCTAGCAGTAAGCAATAATACCCAAATACACTACCTGACAGATCATAAGCTAATTATTTTAAATAACTTATACTAGGGCTGAGGATGGAAATCTCTGCTATCTCTATGTCTCTTGCCAATCCAATTAAATCTTTTTGGGACAAAAATTTGTACACTTCATATGAAACCTTCTCTGCTGTATACTCAGTTTTTGAGTAGAAAATGCAAACCAGAGACTACATCATGTGTCAGTTGTGTCACGCAGTAGCTTTCAACTTTTCACATCTGAATTATTACTTTCTTTAAAAAAACATTTGATCTTGATTTAAAAAATTAACTGCTGATGAATCTACCACAACTGCTGTTAAACTGTTGGCTAATTACCTTGGTGGTAAAACTGGGTACACTTTGTTTTCAATTTCTTTTCCTACCCGCAGACATGTAACTCCTAAAGACCCATTGGATTAAAAAGATCCAAATAATGCATATTCTTCCTCTAAAGAAATGTGGGAATCAAGCTATATGCCTCGATGCTCCTTAGACTGATCCAACTATGTCCTTAATGGCACTTTTCTTTTTAAAATGAAGTCACTCACACAGGGAGATAATTTTCAACCAACTATGCAGTCATCTCTACTGCCCTTTCAAAGATACATCTTCTTCATATTCATGTACCTGCCTTTTTTTGTGTTCCAAACTACTTCCTGAGCATACAAATCATAATACATTGGATGCAATTTAAAAAAAAATAGTTTGTTTTGCTAAGTTATTCAGATCTTTTTATCCCCATTTACTATGAGCCAAAACTCACTCCGATAGAAAAATATAATTTTTTCTATTTCTCCCAGAACACTGGTAAAAGTATTTGCAAGAACCTACTACAAATAACCACAGGTAAAGGTGCTCCTAAGGAACAGCACATTGCATTCGGATTTTACACATGCAGAAGATCTTGTACTAACATCACTGCAGGAAGGATTATTACTCTGAATGCATATATAATGCAAAAGGACAGCAAGGGGAATAATGTAGGGTCTCCCAGGAGATTAGCTGCCTTTTAAGAATGGTTCAGTAAATAAGGAGGGGAAAAATTCATGTGACTTGTCAGCAAATAAATTAGGGCTGCCTCAAGGTGGGTTTAATTTGCACGATGAAAATATTTCGATAACTAAGTGTATATACATACACACACACTTTTATAATGAATAAACAAAGTATGCCCATTTAAGCCAAAATCTTTCTTTCCCCATTTTTGGCTGATTCCATCAGGTAATCTGGCTAGAATAATCCTTTCCCTGCTTGTATTTAGAATGTGTAACAAAAGTCCCATGTTGTATCTATAGAAGAAAGGGTATATTGCAATGTTTCAGAGCAAACATAAACTCTTCAGAATTAAATGTAGAAATCACATGCATTACTATAATGAACTGGACTCTTAATTTCTTTTCAGGTAATAGATATGGCATTACCTTGCTAATGCAGGGATATGATGACACATTGGGTCCTTTTTAATTTGATTACAGAAAAATGGTGACTCTTAATTATAAGACCTTTCAAGAGCTGAGTAAACACATGCACAGAACACAAACAAGAAACAGGCATGATGATGATATCAGTGTGATAAACTGCAGGCTATGGTGATAAACTGGAGAGGCACCATGAACTGGAGAGGCACCAGGCATAAATTACGTTTAAGCACCTTTTGTTTACTTCATGTTCTCTTCAGTGCAGAGACTAATCCCGATATGCCCAAACAGCTGAATTTATCCACCACTAACATAGGGCAGGCACTTCCAAATCTTTTTGAACAGAAGAGTTACTGGACAGCTTTCATCAGAGGGCAACCACTGCTCTAGAAAGATGGGGGATACATTACTAGACAGTATACAATGAACCAGGATCCAAATTCACAACCACACTGCATCTTGTGAAAACCAAATGCACATAAAAACCAAACTAGTCTCAAGCAGTGTTTCACATCGTGGTTAAAAAAAAAGTAGAGGATAAGCTCTCCAGCAGGATTTTTTCACTAAATCAGCTTCCTCCACACCCCTAGGTTTTACAGACCCACTTTCTCCCAATCCCCTAGCCTTACTGTGCCTTTTCCAGAGTTGCATCTTTAGGCTTCAGGTCTGATGGAGGAAAGGAAATCAGTTCCATTAGATTAGCTTCTGTAGCACTGAGAGAGTATACATAATGTATTGAAAATATAAACCTATACAACTATATATGTAGTTGTAGCGTGTAGGACTGTGCAGGAACAGATCTTGAAGCGTAAAGCTGGACATGTAGCAGGCCACTTTGAGATCATCCTGGTGGTGTAAAAGGTGTACAATATGGCTTAAGGATTGTTCAGAATAAAAGTTTGCAAAATGGCTCCATGCTACCTATTTTTTAGTGCAAGGTGTGTGTCAGGGAAGAGGGAAATAGCTGAAATGTGTTGCTCTGTGGTTGTTCGTCATGCCTTATTGGAGGAACCAATGGGTTCCAGTACACACAAAGGTGAAGAGCTACTATAACTTGCCCTTCACACCAGAGATGCTCCTGGATGTGTCAGGAATGACAAGTGTAAAATGGAGTTGAAAATACTTGATTTTTGTCTCTTTTCAGTAATTTGATTAAAATTAAATTACTTATTTGCTGCTTAATACATCCCCGTCTATCAAATTCTAAAGCATTGAAAATTAAAAAAAATCCCACAAACACAAAACCTCCTCCTGAATCTCTGACTAGTTTTGCTTATACTCTGTGGCTGCTTTTCCAAACACATTTAGTGAGTACCCCTTTTTAGTGTACTGGAAACCTTGCTTTTCATTTAGTGGTGCATTTAACATCGTTTGGTTATGATCAAACCATAGCTGGAAAGCTATGGTGAGAAGCCACCAGTGGTGATAAAGTGAAATTTAAAACACTGGCAATATTGGTGTTTCCTTTCAGAGCTCTAGGGGAAGATAATCAAGATTCTCAAAATGCTGCACTTGAAGTTAACCAATGACTATACAGCTAACATTTAAATAACACTGGCCATGGTGTAAAAAGTTACCAGAGTCTGGAAGATGTTTTCTGCTCAGAAATTTTGAAAATCATAATTTATCTTGGTTCTCATTAGACCATATCGACCACATATTGTGTAAAAGCTTTTCAAATTTGGCTTATGATTGCTGGTTTACTATCCTAAAAAACTAAACTCAGGTTATGTAGACTAGTGAGTCAGGCAATAGGACAATAGATTTGATGGCTGGACAAAGAACCTTTTTTTAAAAGTTGAGACTGGCTATTAGAATGTAACAAAGTAAAGTAGCGTAGAAATAAAGAATCAAAAATCTCATTCAATTTTATCAACAGTGATGGAGTGAGACTGATCTGTATGTTAATTTTGTTTTAAACAGATCATCTAAAAAAAGCACAGAAATAAGTTCAGAATAAAAGTGGACCATGTATCTTAAAAAGTAAATAACAGTAACATAAAAATGAAGAGTGCGTTGATAACAAATTTAGATAATGCTCTTTCCAGTATGGCTTCACACTAAAACCAGTGAGATGTTCCAGCTGTAAATAAAAGGTGGAAAACAGCAAGCACTTTTCAGAATTCACACAGCCCACATAAATGTTAGAGTCCTACCTGGAGTCTTGAAATTTCTCAGCTGAGATGGAGTGTCACAGATTTCCAAGATCCAATCACCTGCTGCTTTTTCACTCCAGCAGTGAGTAGTCATAAACTCCCAGTTTTTGAATCCTTCCATGGAATGATCAAATAGCCTAAAACAAATGATGACATTATTTCAAGGCAAACATTCTTTTTTTCCTGAGGAGCTATAACTCCAAGTGTGCAAACTCTTGAATAATAACTCTTAAATAATCAGCCAGTTTGTTCATGTGTACCTTCACATAACATTATTCATGATGGTTCTCTCACATGTATTACAAGCACATTCAACAGCTCTTTGTTGCTTGATGGAAGAGAGTCTTTACATGCCATCATGCTTTTATAATGAAAAAGAGAATGGCAAGCAAATTCATTGCAATAACACCATAATTGCTAATGCTCTTTAATATGATTTGTGGGTCTTGGAAAACCTGCATATAAAACAGAATTCCATTGCTTTAACAGCATGATGTAATTATAAATAACTTGTAAGCTGGAAAATCTCAGCAACATTTATTTTTGGCTCCAAAGCCAAAAGTTAAAAGGGGTTTAAACCCAATAAAAACTATAGTTTTAAGACAATAGTGATTCAATCCATTGCTTCTTGTGAAGAAATAATATGCAACTGAGACATTGGCCTCAATCCTCAAACAACCAAGGTATCACCCTCTTCAAACACTTCACAGAATTCAGTTTGGGTAAACTGATTAAACTATTGATTAAACTAATCTGATAGTTTAATCAAACCAATACCATTACCATAGTTTAATTACTTAGGTTGTGGCTGAAGACATTAGAACTTAGGCCTGGATTATGATAATTTCTAGTATAGGGGGACCAGTTTCAGATACTGCAATGTGATTGTGATCCTCTGTGAGATAGGGAAGGAGGACGCTTCCTGGCCGGAGATTAGACACAAGAGAATTTGTACTTTTATTTAGTGTTCACAGTGTGTTGTTTGGTACCCCAAAACTATTGATGAGAAGAACACTCTCAGTAGGACTGTTGCTTCCAACAAAATCTTGTGGCTCAACTTAAAAAATATATATATACCTATACATTCACATATACGTATTTTTATATATATATTTGTATATATATATTTGTGTTTACATATTTTTATTTGTATATATATGTTTGTGTATATATACACACAGAGATATGTATACATGTCAATTTATACATGCAGGTATATACATACATATGTGTGTGCAATATCTATCACTATTTAAATTTGATCTTTATGAATGAAAGCTCCACTGTTAATAGCTGCAATTAAATATTTTTAAAAGACAAGAATCTCTACAGTAGAAAATCCAATTGATTGAGAATGCTTTTCCATAAAACAGATAAAAGCCTAGCATTAGACAGCATAAATATTGTACTTTAATTCAGGTCAGTCTGTTCTCTTCCAAGCTATTTTCCATTTTTATTCTCAAAAGGTTGTGAAATTCAGCAAACAGGAAAACAGGATGCTTGTGTAGGTACATTCCTGGTGGAAACTGCCACACTGGATAGAAATAAAATGCCATAGTTCTTGCTGGAAGCTTTGGTCAGTCAGAGGCATGGGGTCAGGTACTGCGTCCAACAATTCTTGCAATAGAAACTGTATGGACCTACAGGATTGGTGCACTTCATAGGGCTCATCCAAAACCTGATTTTCATGGTCTCATTTCAAACATAAAATCACAGAATCACACAGTATCCTGAGTTGGGAAGGATCATCAAAATCCAACTCCTGGCACTACACAGGACAGCCCCAAGGATTACACCATATCTCTGAGAGTCTGCTCCAATGCACAACTACCCCTGGATGAAGAATCTTTTCCTAATACACAGCCTAACTCCCCTGACACAACGTCAGGCCATCCCCTAGATCCTGTCACTGGTCACCACAGAGGAGATTGGTGTCTGCCCCTTGGCTCCCCTCAGAAGGAAGATGCAGACTGTGATGAAGTCTCCCCTTAGTGTCTTCCAGGCTGAGCATGAAAAATGACCTCAGCCACTCCATGTATGGATTTCCCTTCTGACCCTTCACCATCTTTTCAGCCTCCTTTGGACACTCTCTAACAACTTTATAACCTTCTTACACTCTGGTGCCCAAAACTGCCCCCAGCACTCGAGGTGAGCTGCCCCAGAGCAGAGCAGGACAATCCCCTCCCTTGCCTGGCTGGCAATGCTGGGCCTGCTGCCCCCCAGGACACGCTTGGCCCTCCTGGCTGCCAGGGCACTGCTGGCTCATGTTCAACTTGCCATTCAGTTTGGGCTACCTTTTCCCATTTTAAATTAATACCTTAGCACTTATAAAACAAAATTAAAATATACGTTGGGATTCATTTTCACTGATAATTGTGTGAGATTTTCCTCTGATACAGTTCTGTGCTTCTGTGTATGTGCCTGTAAGTGTATATGTAGACATATTTTGGCTGCAGAATGGGCCTATTTCATGTCACTGTTAAATCAGTTGTGTGAATACAGGAAATCTCACAAAGGTATGGCACATACCATTTCCTGAAATGGTAGAAATCATTACACAGTCATTATCCAGAATTTGCATGCAAGTCGGTTGTTCAATTTAAGTTATGTAGGCTATTTCCAACTGTTATTTGAATTGCCATACTGTTGTTTTCTGATAGCTTATGTATTACTTTCTAAACACCTTATCAATGCAACTAGACACCAGTATTTCTCTTTGCCATTGTAGCAACTATAATTATTATTATAAAGTATTATGCAAGTACTGTGCAATTACAAATTTGTATTCACTGAGGTCTTGTTCATACACATTAGAAACATAAGTTCCTCTTTATTTTTACTGTACTTAGTCTGATATTTTCCATATTACTTTTTGGATAACTTGGTGTGTCTAGTTTTGAAATTTTAAAGTGTTGTTGGATATCCATTTTAATAATTCTTTTAAGCAATTTTGGGTAGAAGAGAAAAAAAGTCCATGTGTCCTGTTTTTAAAAACACAGTTACCTATAATATACTGGAACTGGAACTGTGAGTTTTCATCCATGGAAATGGGGAAAATTGGGTAATATTACTTCTGAGAGAATTTACTGTTTTTTTAAAAGAACACCTCTTTGAGAAAGATTTGAATTTTATAAAATAAGGTCTAAATTGGAATCTTTGAATGTATGAACTGTGTTTCCACAAAAGATTCTACAAATAAGTCAAAAGGCTACAGACAGATCAAAAGAATAGTAAAAAACAAAGTAGAAACATACTGACTCTGAGTCTGTGTATGTATTTTGGACATACAAAATTGTCCAAGTACTTTTGCTTTACTTTGTTTATGCACTAAACTCTCAAATCAAAGAACCTATGAGACAATGCAGGGATTTCACTATCAGTGAAATAAATTAATGAAATGATCAAATGTTCAGATGTAGATTCCTCACTCAGAAAGAAATGCATAGGATCTTTTAAGGAACATGCAGCCAGTCCAGAATTTAATTTTACAATTTGTCAAAATTCCTATCAAAAACACTTATGACACAGATTATCCTGGATTAATAAAATTTAGTAGATGGTCTGATGAACTGCTAATTGAGTATTACAGATTATTATAGACTAAAATACTTAAACAAGTTAACTAGAATAAGCTGATGGCTTTTTATGACCATGATCATATACCTGTACTTGTGAATGTAACATGCTTTTAAAGACCAAAGTGATTGAAAACATTTGAATTTTCAAAACTTATTTGCTAACATAACCACAAGAGAATGCTAATTCTGTTACTCAGTTACTCAGGGGACCTTTCTTAGAAACAGAACACTTAACATGGAGTGGATGTTACCAAATGATTGACTGTATAATTACAAGCTGCTGTCTACAATGAACAACAGCATTAAATTTTTTTAAAAAAATTGCTCTTCTCTTTCTAAGGAGTTTTATGCCATACTCATAATCATAACATACCATATGTGTGTCTAGATAAGAATATATGTTATACAGTGTAGAATAAAATGACTATTTTTCTTAAATTCAAGAGTCTTGATCTCTTCCACTGCCACCACTTCAGCCTAAAAATTGCATAACCTTTCTCTTCAATAACATAATTTAAGCAGAAATATTAATCTGTGATCGAACTTTAGACCCAGTGGAAGGCAATTAGCCACTTTCTAATAGCATTAAAAAACCCAACAAACAAATGTCTCAGCTTTTCAGCAAAGAATTATTAAATTCCTAAATGCTTGGAAGAATTTGTTTCAATTTTTAATTTCATGTAAGGAAAGGCAGCAAAGGTAGCGGATTTGTTTAGCAACACCAGCATCACCCATTATGAACACTAAGAAGTAAACACATAAAATGAACTTTTTTTCAGTTATCAAGATTGTTTGTTTCAGCTGAGAAGGTGCAGCTGCACTTGACTGACAGCAATGGTTGCACACTGAACTCAATGCATTAGGAGCATGGAAACCCTGCACTAGCTAGTGGCTGCAGCTGCAGTAGAGTAGCTGGAAAGAGATAAGAATTTTCTTCTCCTACAGCAGCTATCTTTGTTATGATGTGCTCCAGCACACAAACTGGCAGCCTCATGGGCAAGTGGTCCTTGCCCAGAATTCTGCACAGTCACCAGACTTCAAATGCACTTACAGTTTGAAGAGACTACATAATGCCTTCCCAAGCTGTGCACCTGAAAGGGCTTTGGTCAACTATTCTCTTTAAAGCATCTCTTCTCCACAGGGTTGAATCATCAGCTCCCTGTGAGATGTAGCCCCGGAGAAACTGCAGACAGCTCAAACTGACTTAACCAAAGCTTCGGCCAGACCCTACTGCGCATCTGCACTGAAGTACTGGGAAAAAATAAATGGTCAGAGAACACACTAGGCATTTCAGAAGCTTTCTTACCTACATATGGGAGATCACTTAAAATTTATGGATTTGGAGCTAAAGAAAACATATTTAAAGTATTTGCATACAAACTTTTTTTTTATTTCCATGTTATATCTGGTTATCACAGTTAGTTTTATGAAACAATGGCTATCTCTGAACTATCATGATAAAGTTGTTTGGAGTAACATGAACAATAGTGTACAATCCTGCCAACCTGAAACAGTGGCTAGCATGGCAATCACCATCTTTAAAGGCAGAGTGCTTGTCCCCAGGAACTACACATATCCACATTAAACGATCCATCATTACTTGCAAACATGTCAGGCTGAGGAGCTCCACACACTCCACTGGTCAGCCAGCTGCTTGGTAGTGGGATATCTATTCATCAACCCCACAAAAGGAAAAAAAAATATATAGCTAACATGACTGAAACAAAACACAGCAAGTATGAGTTGGGAGAAATGGTTTTCCAAGAACTGTTTCACCCTGTAAACACAGTACAAGCACAGGGTTATTAGCTCATTGTGGACATAGATTACTACCACATCAGACACCTTTTCAGTGACACTCAACATAAAGTTGGCCCTTATGTTTCATCATATTAGGATTAAAATGTTAGTTTTCTTTAATATAAGAGTATAACATGCAAGCTGGAAAAAAGATGCATACTTATAAAGAAAATTTTGCCCTATTTCAGATCACCGAGGCATTTTATGAAGCAAACAATTGAGTAAGATTAGATAAGAATAACTTGGATTTGGTCAAAGAGTTCTGCAGAGGAGGATATTATTAAAATTTACTGATTGTCTAAGGTTTCATGATAGGACAAAGATGGTCATGAAGATACATTCTTTTGTTACTGAAGAGAAGTATTATTAATACCACGGCCATATAAGCTTATGAAGCTAGTGTCCTGGAAAGTTGCCACCATGTGGCTGAAATATTTCAGTTACGCAGTTCAAATGGCAACAGCTGCTTTAAATTTAAAGGGCAAGAATTAAATAAGCCATGACTTCAGTGGGAGACAAATGAGCCCTAAGTTTGTTTCTCCTACTCCTTTTGTATCTAGCTTCTCCTCCATAGCCTGCCTGTAGTGAATGTTTGTTAGAACTGACCTTGGTATGTCTCAAAAAACACTCAGAAACCCACACTGCCAAATCCACTGGCCAATTGTTTTTGGAAAGAGGACACTGTTCCCCTTTGGACTTAACTCTAGCCTCATCCTCACACCAGCCAATACACTTCCAGCCTGTATTTTCCTCTAGTGCAGTGCATCCAACGTAATCATGTTTAGTACTTTCCAAACAACAAAGCAGATGTTCCCTGTAATGCAGATTTTGAAGAATGCACATAAGGCTTAAACCAGTGACAGTGTTATCCACCAAATGCCTGCAAAGGAATCCACATCATCTCAGACTAACAAGTTTTCTTACTGAAGTCATTTTAGGGGGTGCCAACATTAAGGATAAAATATGCAGAAAAAAGGCCAAATATTGCCTTGAGGGAACTACTTGTCAATGCACCAGAAATTACACACAATTACTTTTCTTCCAGAATTGGTGGAGAAATGCACATGTAAAATATACCTTTTGCACTTAAAAACATTTTACCAAGTGAACTGTTTCAAATTAAACCCAAATGAGTAACTGTAAAACAATGGGACTTTCCCGGGTTTCAGTAAAAACAGCTGGTATTGCTGCTATTAATCCTGTACATGTACATTAAAAAGTCTTGTATATCTGAGAAAAACATCTCAGTCAGGTAGTAGCAATATACAACAGCCTCTGGAACCTTTGCCTATAGCAGAAAAACCAGACCATTTGCTGCCAATGTATCTCTGTATGCATGCTTATAAACTGAATGCATTTATTCACTGACATTCAGTATTATTGATACATTAAAAATCAAATGCCTCATAACTAATTTTTCATATTGGAAAATAACATCCCATTTCAAGTTTTAGTTCATAACATGATGCTAAAACATATACGTTGACAACACACAGCATACTCCTAGCGTCAAGAAATTACTACTTCTAAGCTGTATGACTTCTTACAGCAAGGACAAATGAAGTAAGCATTGAAACACCATTTCAGAAAGTATTTTGTTCATATCCCTCACTTTACCCTAAGAAAGGTCTCATGAAAGCTCTAGGTATTTCAGACCTAGCATTTGCAAGATACTTTTATCCCTAATATTAGAAGCCCAGAGGTTTTTAGTAACCCATCAGCCCAATGTGATGGCAAGTCCGAATATTTCTGAAGTTTCCATGGGAAGGGAATTTCTGGTGAGACTCTATAAGCTCTCTCATGAATAATTTGTTTCCTGGGAAGTAACAAAATGTGAAAAGGCCTTTCAGGTTTCTTTGTTTTCTGTTTAGTCTTCTGATACTAACATACAAGAAAGAGCGGAACATCCTCTTATTTTATTACATATATTTGCAAACCCTTTCTCTTCTGCACATACAGAAAATAATTCTTTTTGAGGTGCAGGGGTTACAAAGACACTGATTGAATTAAATTTTGTACCTATCCCACACATCAATCATCACCAGAGGTGAACTGTGAATCCTGGAATGTATTTCCCACTTGCTGTGAGTCAGCTGCAGCACATGACAGCCTAGAGCCAAAAGTTAGCTGCGTTAAGACCACTGGGTTTACACAAGATTGTTTTGTTTGGATACCTAGTTGGATGGCTTTCATGTTTTTTCATTTTGAACTGAGGAAGAACTACTGCATGAAAATGGAAGAGAAAACTAAAGAAGGATTTCTTCAAACAGAAAAACAAAACCCTGTTTCATAACTAATAAGAGAAACCTGTCTCACACTCATTAGCAGAAGACAAATTCTTTGTTCAGTGCAGTAATGCAGCAGGAAGACATGAATATGCGTGCCTAAGTGCTTTATTAGCAACCTATGACAGAACTCACAATAGAACACAGGAGATATTCTAGAGGAGCCCAGACTTCAAGAACAACTTCCTCTCCATTTGGTGAATTAGTGTCTACAGCTTGAAGAACATTTTCAATTTACCTTTTCTTTTAATTTAACATAATCTCTAACGAAAATGTGCATTCACAGTTCAATCAAACAAATCAAAACAGGCTCTTTAAACAAAGAGCCTGTTTTGGAGACAGGTGGAGGTCAAATGGAGTCCATTTGACCTCCACCTGTCTCCAAAACAGGCTCTTTGTTTAAAGAGGAAATATAAATCCTTCTATCATAGAGATGGAGGAAGACATGCAAGTCTCCAGATCTAGATAATTAGCATTTCTGGCTGAGGAAGCATGGATGAAAAGCAGTCTGGAAAGCAGGCCACTCTCAATCCATTAAAAGCTCTGAAGAACAGGACTAGGGATTTTAATTTTGTGAAGATTTAAGCATGATGGCAGAAGAGTTCTCACAATACAGGTTTGATAGATGGCCTTTTTTGCAGTTTCTGATACCTAACATCAGTAAACATAAACTTTTCTGTGGGAGCCATGCTCTGTGTCTAGCAGAATGGCAGTCATCTACATCAAGTCATCAAGGAACAAGAATTACCTATGGTCCCATGAGGAAGAAGATTTCTAGCTAGTTGGAGAAGTATACAAGCATTTCTTACTGTAAATGTAACTTATTTGCATATTTGTAACTGGTGTAAAATTTTGAAAGTTTTCTGATGTTTCTTAATGCCTTAACCATGTCTGGTAGGAGGTGGATGACCATGGATTTTAGTGAGATTTACATGGGAAAGACTGCCAATGTTTTCTTTGAAGAAGATCTCTGCTAGCAGATAAGAGAAATAGAATCATGACTGAGAAGTCTTCCAGTTTGGTAATGATTCCCTCCACTTATTATTTGTCCAATGATATATTGGACAAAGAGATACTTTGTCTGAGTTCAATAATCAGAATAAAAAAGGCAATTTGACACACTAGGACAATTTCTCCAAGAACATAACGTAGAGGTGATGAGGAAGAAGATTGATCTTTCTTAGTAGCTGTTGTAAAAATGGCTGGACATTTGAAAGCAAGTATCCATCACTGAACTGATGTCTAACTTTTAAAAATTTTTGAAGGTGATGGCTAACTTTTAAAAGCTTTAATCTGCAATTTACAAATGAAGCCTTTAATTTTAAGTGCTAGTGCTACTTTTCAGCATTGTCCTACTATAAGCCTTTCATGGATTGAGTATGTTTACTTAGAAAAAAAGGATCTGGAAACAGGTAATATCAGGGATTTAAAAAATAGTGGTAAATATACACTATTCTATCTGACTGTCATTGCTATTTAAAAAAATGATAAGAAAAGAGAAAAACGAAAAATAAGTGGCAATATGTAGAAACACTTTGATTCAGCTTCCTTATGAAGCTGAACTGAATCTGTTTTCTTCACATTTTCCAGCTATCTAATAAATGGTGAGCCACACAAGAACTATTGAAATTAACAATCTTTGTCTTGGAGTTCAACAGTTTTAACATACTCTTCTAAGTACTGAGACTGTATTGTATTCATCTCTGAGTTCATTTGTACTTCATTCTGCCCATCTCTCTACGAAAAAGTAATTAGCCTATGACTTCTAGTATCACTACTGTAATGACTTGACTGCTCTTTGCTGACATGGACATGTCTATGCAGGCTCTACATGCTGAGTGTACTGTGAAATTGGGTTGTCATACTATACCTGTTGGCCAAGAGCTGTGACCTAGTTCCAGAAGGAGAGGTTAGGTAAATTGCCAAGTCTCCACGTCGAGGGTGAGTAATAGTGATACGTACAACAACATGCTCCAAGTAGATCACATGATGGTTAGGATTATCTGAACAGCCAGTGGCTTTATAAATTGAACGGACAATGCTGTCAGGTCGTATTGTTCTATAACAGAAGCATAGCAAACAACATTAGCATTTCTTGCTTTTTGTGTAAAATACACAACCCCATCTTTTTTTGCTCAGTAGAGAATGACAGTGTTGGATAACTGTAAAGTCAGTAGCCTATAATCATTAGTTTTGACATGTGCTTCCAAGCTGAAAATACCACTATAGGGTAATTATTTCACTGCAGATAATGGCTAATGGCAACTGCCTGGGTTTCTGTTAAGCACATACACAAGGTAAAATAGGAATAAGCCTTTGGGACAGAGCATTATTGTAGATTAGTGGCCAGCTGAGAAATGCTGAGATTGTCATGGGATCACAGCTGGTTGCTAAACCCCAGGAAATGCCTGGCATAGCTAATCCTAGCTTACGTAACAGCAAGTATTACATGTTAATGGTACCAAAAGGCATCTGACTCAGCTGGTTTAAATTGGTATGATATCCTTGAAGACTACACCAGTTACAGATCAAGCCTGTCAAATATAATTAGCAAACAATATTCTTAGTGCTTTGGAAGTCCGCCTTATGCTTGATGCTGCCTCTATGTCCATGGAGTACACATAACAGAGTTTTGCTCTTAAGCCTGGTTCTACAGAGACCCTAACTTAGCAAGTGAAAAGCAGTTCAGTTTTGGCCTCTGAACTAGAGAGCCTCCTAAGACCATTGGAGAGACACATTATCACACCATTTCAAAAGCATATTTGCTTTTTACATCCTGGACTGTTAAATCTATCTCTTCTTGCAAAGGTGACTGAAATGCATTCAACCAAATATTCTTTGGTGTATCATGCACATAAAAATCCATCATTACCCAGTCTGGACTGTTTTACACCTTCACCTTCTGCAATGTTCTTCAAACTAGGGCCTTTTTCCATGCACTACATCTGTAAATGTGACAGACCCTCTGGTATGGCTTTAAAAATGATACATTATACACAATGCAAGGGAGGGGTAAATTATAGCCAATTTTTTTTCCATAAATTTAAGCCAGCAAAAGTTTTGGTAGCGGGTATTACTTGATTTGCCGATCTGTGTTCTCCACACACACATGCTGTGGAGGCACCGTTGTCCACTTTTCTGCTTCTGTCACCATTGCTTCAGCATCCATCAGTCCAAATCCATAAAGGTGGCTCACTGCAAGGTACAAACAGAATGGATACAGTTATAGCATAAACCCTTGGGTTTCATCATAGACTAATTCCAGAGTATCACATCCTAACAGGAGTTACTTCTTTTCTCTTCTTCCTTACTTTTACTCAAAGCTCCAAAATCTCATTGCCAAGAACAATAATGACAATATCTAATTTGTTCAACAAATCTGTTCACTGCTTTATTACAGAAATGGCATGAGGCACTACCTACACTGCCTACTATGAGAACTACAGAATGCCAGTGACTAAAATTGCCTCTGGCTGCCCTTAGTCCATGTGCCTCAATTAGCTCAGCCCTTTTGTATGACAAAGGGATATATGAGCATAATGAATGAGAGGAAGGTTACTTCCATTACTCAAATGCCAAACACATGCATGTGTATTCAGGGAAGCTAACTGAGACAAATTTGAGAATAAACAGATCACTTTGTAACTGTTGTATCCTCTGAACTTCCCTGAGTGTAAGCAGCACTAGTGAATGTTCTTCTCTTCCTGTATACGGTATGTCTGTCATTGGCCAACCAACTGGGTAGACTCACTCTCTCCCTAAAGCTGTCTGCTTGATGAGGGTGAAAAGCACTTACTGAATCAGCTGTGTGTTTTTGATTGCTATTCCAATTGAAATAGAGACTTGCAAAAGGGTTTTGGTGAATTAGAAGAGCTTCTAGCCATGATGTTCCATTGTGACAAATTGGTGCTCTTGATAAAATTCCGACAGCAGAAGGTGAAACAAAAAGGCTTCCACAGGAGGAGTTTAGATTGCAAATATAAGTAGATCAGTTTTTCTTGCTACCACAGAAACTCACAGAAAATTGTAAGTGCAAATTTAACCAGCAATGCAACAAAGCATGGTATAAATCCTTCCCTATGCATGTTGTAGAGGGTTTGTGAAAGCATTCTCTATATTGCCAAACCAAAATTCAAAGGACTCTATCTAAAAAAAAAAACCCCGCCTTCTCAAACAAATACAGTCCAAAGCTTAAGGATTACATCTTCCAAATATCTAGTACTGTCCAAAACTGCCAGCTGAAAAGGATTCTTCAATGCACCTCATCTTTTCTTGATAAGAAATAAGGGCAGAAAAGCATGTAACATTGCCACCACCAGTCAGTGGCCTTCAAATGGAAACTTATGTAACTTTTAAGCTATTTACCCATATAATTTTTTTCCCTAGTGTGCACATTAAAAATACAAATAAAATCTATGGAGTGAACTTTCTATCCTCCCTACCCTAACAAATACTTGGAAGACACAACTTAGGAGGAATTTTCATCCAGGAGAAAAACTTACCACTCAAGGTTTTTTGGTTGTGGTATTTGTCCATGACTCAATGTTTAAAATGTCTTGCATGAGAGCAGCAGTGTAGTGATAAGTTCTGCAGCTGATGTGGTTTTTTCAGTTGAAAAAGAAATACTTTTTTTCCTTGAAAGGCCTTCCCATTGAAATAAAAAATTTCCTGACAGAGAGGGTTACTTTTAAATCCTCCCATGTAGACTGACATTTGGCTGTCGAAAACATTTCCATTCAAAGCCCTTGATCCAATGGGTTGGTTAGCAGTTGAAGGTACAAGCAGAGGCCCATAATTTTCAAAGACCAAATTACAGCAATTTAGGAGAGAATCATATAGTTAAAAAAAGTAGTTGTGTCTAAGAGAAGAAAAGAGATTTTTCTCTCTGCTATCTTCAGATTGTGCTTCTTCATCTGTGTGCATCCTTGTATTCCCATGAGCTTTATGGCAAGATGCCTGTCCCAAAGGTTAACAATAGCCTGGTGGTCTACATGGAGCTATAAATGTCTTCTAAGAAACGCCCTGGGACTGCCTCTGATTTGTATGCAAAACATACTGAATTGACATTGCTAACCCAGATTAATCAAAAGCACTGTCTGAAAGGTCATGATGACTGCAGAGAGCAAAGTGTAAAATGCCACAGACCTTGCACCTACCTACTTATGTGCTCTGTGTTATCACTGCTGTGAATTGCTACTGGGCTCAGCTCTTGCTAGGAATCATTACACATGTCAGAGTGGGTATTGGGCTGTTTTGTACAAAGGTACTTTTCCTTCACAAATGAAATATGAATATAATGTGAATATAATAAAATAATATGATACAATGTAAGCTGGTGGCTGAGGAGTAGACTGTTGCTTTTATTAAGCTGAAGGGTTGAAAATGTGATCTCCTAGTGTGACCGAAGTGTCCATCAGTAGAGCTATCTTGAATTCTCTCTCCTGTCAGGCAGCTGTACTAATTGATCAATTTTATTTCTGAAAAATCACAGGCCCACCCAGAGACTTACAGGTGCAGGGCATGTTTCAGAGAAAAACTTCCCTCCCACAACATGAAGTAAATACTAAGTTTTATCTGATCTCTTTAATCTTTCTTAAAGATGTTTTCATCTTAAAGGTGAAACAATATTTGTCATGGCTTAAGTCCATTTATTTACCCCTAGTGCAGTTCTTTCATTAGTATATTGTGAAAACAAGGCCTTCTGAGCTTCTGGAGAAGCTTTTTCATAATCTCCTTGCTTTTGTCTGAAATTGCTGTTGAAAATTCAGAAACTTTCTCATTTACATACAAAGCTACCCTCAAATCTAAAGTTAGGATGCATATCCCATTTGACTTGACTATGAGAAATATGAAGAGCTGGTGTTCATAAATCATAACAGAGAATCATGCAGACTTCAGAAATATTTGGCCCAGACACTAGAAACACAACATTTCCAGTGTAGCTAAACTTGAGTTGTTAGGCTGCAGTTTCATTGCCTGTCATCAAGATGTCTCATCAGTAACTTAAACACTAAGCCTTCCCTGCTATTTTACTCATGTGACAAAAGGCTTGCATAAAATTTTCTCCCTACTAAATTTTTGGCATTTTATATATCATGTCCCATGAAAGCAGCATTTAAAATATAAACATTTTGTATACACATATCAAATGCCAAATAAGGAGAGAAATAGTAATAATTTCAGCGTGACAAATGAGGAATATGCAGCTTCCTCAACTAGATTAACATGTTTGATATGTCAACTGTAATGATCTGTGTATTTATGCCACAATAGGATCTTGATTCAAAATGAGATTGACAGAATAGGAGACTAAAATGTCCATTAATACTATGGTTTCTTAAATATTGCTTAGCAGTTCAGAATATGTAAGCCTCTTGAGTTACTCTCAGCCCATAAATACTTTTGACTGATTTACACCAATGTTTTACATTTGACATTTTAACTGCAAATAGAATGAACTAATTCTATAATGCTTTAACAATTTAATATTGCTTTTCTGTCATTTGCTTGGAATACTGAAATATTTCAACAAGGATAAACAACTGCATAACAAGAATTAGACAAAAAGTGGAGAAATGTCATGATGACACAGCTTAAACTGTTTTGTTTTGTCATGTCCTCTCTAAGACAACACTGATCTTTAATAATTCATCTTGTTTCAGCCGTATTCCTATTTCATGCCAACTTGGCACCAGTAACGTGTGACAACTGAGTGTGATTTCATAAACACATAACTGCTTTACAAGCCAGTAACACAAGTGTGCAAGAAGATGCTTTTTCATTCTTGCTTTTAAAACCAACTCATGGTTTTCAAATTAAGCACATTACTTGTGTTTCTGTATTCTACAGAGAACAATTCCTCAATTTCTGTACCTAAAACCAAATAAAACAGCAAACGAAGTATTTGCTCCTCAAAGTCCCTGAAATCCAGGCATTTTTATAGACTCAGTATGGATGTGGGAAGATTGAGCTCTTACACCTATCACCACACTAGAGAAGGTTGTGAAAAGCATACAGTTGCCCAACAGATTTGTTTAAAAAGTGGCAGCTACAAAGACACACAATGAGAATCTGAAGGGCCTCTACAGCATAGGATCATAGAAGCACAGAATGATTTGGGTTGCAAGGGACATTTAAAGCTCATCTAGTCTGACCTCTCCACCATGAGCAGGGACACCTTCCACTACACCAGGCTGCTGAACGCCCTGTCCAATCTGGCCCTGAAGCACTTCCAGGGATAAGGCATCCACAGCGACTCTGGGAAACCTCACCATTCAAATCATAGAATCACAGAATATTAAGGGGTTGGAAAGGACCTTAAAGATCAGCTGGTCCCAATAGCCTCTGCTATGGGCAAGGAAATTTACCCCTCAAGTTGCTCAAGGCCTTATCCAACCTGGTTTTGAACACTGACAGGGTTGGGCATCCACAGCCTCCCTGGGCAACCTGTTCCAGTGTCTCACCATGCTCACAGTAAAGAATTTTTTCCTAATATCTAATCTAAATTTCCTTTCTTTCAATATTCTCCCATTATACCTTGTCCTATCACTACAGATCTTGATGAAGAGTCCCTCTCCAGCTTCCCTGTAGGCCCCCTTCAGATGCTGCAAGGTTGCTCTGAGATTCCACACAACCTTCCTTTCTCCAGGCTGAACAGCCTCAACTTTCTCACCCTATCTTCACAGAGAAGATGCTCCAGTCCTTGTATGAATTTATAAGCCCTCCTGTGGACTTGCTCCAACAAGTTCCATGTCCCTCTTATATTGTGGACTGTATACAGCACTCCAGGTAGGATCTCACCAGAGCAGAATAGAGGGCAGAATGACCTCCTCTGACCTGCTGGCCACTCTCCTTTAAAAATGCAGCCAAGGACTGGATTGGCTTTCTGGGCTGCAAGTCCACACTGCTGGCCCGTGTTGAGTTTTTCATCAACAGTTACTCTCAAATCCTTCTCCACAGGGCTGCTCTCAATCACTTCTCTGCCCAACCTGTGGGTGTGTCTGGCATTGCCACAATTCAGGTGTAAAGACCTTGCACTCTGCTTTGTTGAGCTACATAAGGTTCACACAAACCCACCTCTCAAGCCCTTCAGGGGACCTATGATGGCATCCCTTCTCTCCAGTGTGTTGACTGTACCACACTGCTTCATGTTGTCAGCAAATATGATGAGGGTGCACTTGATTGCACTGTCCCTG